AGGGAGGGAGTACCTGTGTGGGTACTTGGCTGTTGCATGAGGTGAACCCACCACTTCAGGCAAGTGTGACAATCAAAGAATTTCCAGGAGAACAGAGATTATTGAACTGCATTTTATGATGCTTGGAAGCCATCTAAAAAAAGAGCTAAAAAATTTATTCATAACTAAATGCTGTATTTATCATCTGAAACTCAAAAGATTATAATTTTCAGTATTTTTAAGATTACAGAATGGTTTGGGTTGCACAAGTTTATTCAACTTAGTTGCTTCCCCATTTCAGTAAAGCGTTGAACTATGGCCAAAAGCTTCATGAAGAAAGGAAGATGTTTTGGTTAATTGTCTTCACAAGGCATTTAACCGCAGAATTATGCAAAACTGGGGTATGTCAGAGGATGAAAATAGCTGGGACCCTATTTCCCCTGGGATTCTATTTCTTTCATGCTTTTCATTTTTCCCTCCCAGCAGCACTGTTCAGCACACACAGCTTCTAGCAATACTCCAGCCATCCTCCTCACTCACTGGCCATGGCTGACAGTGTCTTGGGTTGCAATGCAAGATGTAACTAAAAGTATGTATTCTATTACTGTCTGTTAAAAACAGGTGTGGCAGTGTTCTTTATCTCTTCCATGACCCATCCCTCGTATCTCCAGGGGGATATCTTCTGTTAATGGGCCATTGAGTCTCACTGCTTGACTGATAAAATGACATTATCCCATTCTGAGATGCTCCACCCAGGGGGAGGAGCCAAGCATTCCCATCTGTATATAATCTGAGACTTGGAACACCACAAGCAGTCTTTTTCCACTGCACTCCCAGACAATTAGACCCATCTACACCACCGGTGGACCTTCAGAGGAAAACAACACCCTTCTACAGGATCACTGCTTCAACAGAACCACATCTGTCACTCCAGGAGGCCTGTAGCCACCATTTAAACAGACTGCTACCAACACTCTGAACAACAGGGTGTCAGGTTGTATTCTGACTCTTGTCAGGTTTTTTGTATTATTGCATTTTATTTTCATTTTACTATTAAGTTGTAGTTTGTTGTTTTTAGGGGTTTTTTATTTATACGTGCTACTGAAGAACTGTTATTCCTGTTCTCATATCTCTGCCTGAAAGCACCTTAATTTCAAAATTATAATTCAGAGGGAGGGGGTTTACATTTTCCATTCCAAAGGAAGCTCCTGCCTTCCCTAGCAGACACCTGTCTTTCAAACCAAGACACAGAGCTGTCCCAAAGCTCTGTGGTTCATCAAGAGAGATGTAAATCAGTCAAGTCCCAGGGAGAGAAGTTTTCTGCATTTATCTCCTGTCCCTCCTAGGTATATCACCTCCTGCCTCTGACACAGATGGGTCTCTTTGGATATTTTCTGACAAATCTTTCAAAAAGCCTTTGCAAGGCTCCTGCTCCATCCCTGGCCAAAATCAGGGTTGGACTAACAGCACAAGGGATGCTGTGAACACAAACGAATGTCACTTAGTGAGGCTGCAGCACCCCTCCAGACCAGTGACCATGCCAGGCTCCTCTACAAAATAATTTCAAGGGGCCACCACAGAGTTATATCCTCCCCTCTCACAAAACCAGGGGAAAAATGAAAGTTTCTCTCCTGCCTGGGAAGCCTTCAAGCACCTTGAAACCCTCACAAAAGAAGTGGGAGAGACCAGGTCTTCTGTGGTACCAAAATTCCAGCTTTACCTTTTCTTCAAAATCAGGAGCTGTCTCTGCCACTGACTGGAAAGTATCCTTCAGCACCTGTCACTTACATAGGTTTGTTTCAGATACACTTTATTGAGGATTATTTTCTTTTTTATGGATTTTTCTTATATACACACGTCCCCACGCATACATGTATATACATGTATTTATTTATATGTAAACAGATATTTGTTTTTTGCTTTATACATATATAAAATATATTATCAGAGAACCTGGTTAAAACTCAGTGCAGCCCCAAACCTGTCTGTGTTTCTCACGATTCTCTCTGCATTTATTTCTAAGACTTGTGATTATCCTCACCTGAAGCTCCTCTGTTTTCACCTCCCATTTCTGTTCCTGGCATGATTTGGCTGATACCTCTGACCCCTGATAAGACAGCAGATCTGTTTCTGTATGTTCTTTCTGGATTTTTGGGACAACATTTATCTCACCTAACTTCAAATATCTAGGGCAGACAGATTTATGCTGATCACTGCCAGCTCCTACTACAGTCAGTGAAGAGAACCAGTCCCTTCTAGAGACCCACTCCTCTGGCTGTCCATGTGCCGTTGCCTTCCCCTGACAAGGCAGAGAGCCCTGGCTCAGGTGACCAGGTTCAGTTGCAAACATCCAAATTGGTGAGGTAAATTCCACTGTCTGTTTTAGATTTTTATTAATTCCCCACTATAAATGTGTTCAAGATCACAAAAATGTATGTTTTCACAATTTATCATTTTCAGCTGTAATGCTTTCATATTCCAAAACACAAATAATATGCAAATCATTAAAAAGCCCACAACAAAAATACATACTTTTTATGGTATGTCTGTTTGTACCAAAACAAAAATAAAATATAGACTAGTTTATTGATAACTGTAAATGTTACTGTTGATGCAAAATAGATAACAATACTCTACACTTAGGTATTATAACGTTTCTCCATGCAGAGCAGAACCAAACCTAAAACAAGAAAATTACTTCATTCAGCAAAAAACTTTCTTTTAATAAATAAAAGTCTGCAGGTTTTGATGAGATGAAATTATTACAGTTATCAAGCCTTCTTAATTAAAATCTACAAATCATTCAACAAAACTGAACTCAAGTGTTTGTATTTATAAATATATATATACATATGCACACAAATAAAAGGAGCATAAGGGAGAAAATAGCTTTCCTTTACACAAAGGAACTAAGCACTCTCCAATGACTCAAAGCATTACCATGAAGATACCTCATGCAACTGCTTTAGCTCCTGCAGGCCCTGTTCCCATTTTTGCTATTGGCTTGCATTTTATCCTGCAGGTTTAAAAAAACAAATCCTCCTGTCCCCATACCCCTGGGATAAGGAAAGGAGAGGTTTTGTTTCTTAATAAACCTCATCCTCTTCAATACAACCATTAGCCTGTGACATTGTAAGCTTTTCACAAATATTTTGTGAGATCTAATACTTCAAGTTAAGGTCCCTTATTTTGAAATAATCAAAACACACACTATTCTTTTAGAAAACAGAACTGAGGAAAATGTTCCATGTAGGAAGGTAAATCTCATTTACTTGTTCTGGACCGACTTCAAAAACGGAAGTCTAAATTAAAAACAGTGATCTTAGGCAAGGAGATTAATACATAATCAGAGGATAAAACATGTATGCAACACTGCTGAATTCACATCATGCATAGAAAATTAATATTTTCTGAAAATGCAGTGTTTTGGCCTGTATTCCATGCACAGCTTTCTCAAATGAATTGCAAAGGAAATCTTGGCAGGTAATGTTGAAATCAGCTCTTAAAGAATTTACAAGTTGAACAAAGCCATACGCAGATACTGGGTGAAACTCTGTTGCGTGTGAACACTGCCCTTTTTACCTTGGAAAAAGCTATGTACTTTCCTCATTTACACAGGTGATCTTCCATCCATCACAGTGTTCTTGTGTGTTGATTTTTTCTCCCTGTGTAACAGTTCTTCACCTTCAGGGATCACCACTGGGTGCAGCCAGCTCAGTTTCCCATGTCTGAAGTTAAGTACAGCCTGCAGCTGCTTGCTCTGCCCATCCCTGGAGAGGCGTTCTGGCAACAAGGGAAGCCAAGTGGATTTGAAGCAGCCATGCAGAGGCTCCAGCTTATATCCTCCCATCCCAAGTCAATGCAAGTTAAATAGCATGGAATATAAACTGTGGGACCCTGGGATTTTCTTCCTCTGTGATTCATCCTCCCTTGCTAGAGACAGACAGGAATAGGGAAAGGCAGTCATTGCTTTAGGCACTTAAGTTTAACCCATCCGTGGATGTCAGAGTAAACTCTTACACTAGCAATGGAAAACCAAGCATAACCTTTGTCTTTTGTTGTCAGGCATTCAAATTTTTTTTTAATTTTTTTTTTTTTTTTCCAAATGTCACACTTTTTTGCCCCAGGCAGTAAAGCAATATATTTTATGGTTTTTATGGCTGACTGATGGTGAACCAAGCTGCAATGGGAAAGCAAAATGTTTACACAATAAACCCATAAATAATTTTGTAACCATTAATGAGCATTCTCACGATTTTACTGCTGCCAATTAGAAACCTAATTCACTGGAATTAGTCACTATACTATACAAAGGAAAAAGAAAAAAAAGTCACTGGTCCTTCACATTCAGAAAAGGGGGATGTGATAGTAGCGGTCATCCTCAGTCACGAGAGAAATCTCATTCCATTCCCTTCGGTATTCATCCGGATAGTTTACTTTAAATTCCTCAGTATTAAACCTATGCAGTCTGTAAACTCGTATCTTTACTTCAAGTAAGTATCCAAGAAGAAACAGTTCAACCTGTCAAAAATTAAAGAAGTCTGTAAGACATTTATTTCTAGACATTGAAAACTAAACTGAAGATAATCCAAGTTAAGGCAAGTCATTTACCTTCAAAACAGTAGACAAGGGATAAAAGGGATAAAGGATAAAACTCCACTTTTGCTAGTGGAGTAAGAACATTGAAAGTTTGAGGACATTCCAAACAGCCCTTACACTTCTCTTTTGCATGTAGAGAAGAACATTCCTTTTCCACCTGACACCATACATAACCTACTCCCAAGCCAGCTCACACAGCTTAGTGGGGAGCAAGAAAGGAATAGCTAGTACCAAGACTGATGCACCCTGAAAAAATAGGAAGCCTGCCACCTTGTGATCACTTGCTACATATGGAAAATGTAACAGTGAAAGGAAAAACGTTCTTGGTGCTTCACATATATGAAACTGGAGAACTGACATCTCATTGACACTTCTTGCAATGGATTGCTTAATCAGGAAAAAAGGTTTGGGAACAGTTCATAACCTTGGGCATAGCCAGACAGAGAAGAACTTGTCCAGTCATAAGCAAACAGCTCCTAAATCTGACTGCATCATGTAACAATTGACTTGATAACTGAAACTGATTATAAAAATAATTTCAGCCATTGGAAAGTGAAACCATTTGTGGAATGGCAGTGCAGAGTTTAGATGTCAGCACTGAACTTCTCACTAATTATAAAACAGGAAACAAAAACCTTAACATATAAAGGTGATTAGTAGAGTTGTCATTACCTACTCTTAATAGACATTAGATCTCATGAAAACCAAAGGGTGGGAAGAGAGTGATGCTGTAGGGTTTGGCATAGCAGATCAGATTAGGAAAAGCAAAACAACTGGTCAAAACAGCATCATCTAAAACTATTTTACATATCGAAGTTATTATTGTTCTAAACAATAATTGTCTTTTTGATGACTGTAGCATTTGTTTTTGGTCCACTCTTACTAACTAGTTGTTTTTTTCCCCAGAAGATAAATGGCTATCCTCAGTCCATTTTCCCCACATCTCAAAGAAAAAAAAATGAGCCAGCTGTCACGGATAATGAATGATATAATCACCGAATCACTAGAAAGATGGAAAAAGTTCTGTGATTTGTTTTTCATCTATATCCTTACCTGGTCTAGGCCAATAGAGTCACCTATGGAGTTCAGATGATTCATCATGAAACTCAGAGGGTCAGATGAAGAGTCACGAGCAAAGAGAAGACTAAAAAGGTTGTGTACGGGTTCATCCCTGCTCTTTATCTGCTCATAGGCTTCGACAACTTCATAGAGCATGATGAATTTTATGGCTTCATATAGTTTGTATTCCTTGCTTTCATCAGAAAACAGTGTATTACACATGCGTCCTCTTTCTTCATGATCTCTTGTAGCACTTATTTCAGCCCACTGGAAAGCATACAAAAGAAGAATATTACTAAAATTATTAAAAGTTCTATTTAACACAAAAGATTGCAAAACAGGAATAGAAGCCTGTGTAAAGAGCTCAAAAGAGCCCAGGCACAACAGTATTTGCAGGCAGCAGCTTCCAATCTGATCAAGGCCAATGGTTCGAGGTACAACAAAACCAAGTGCCAGGTCCTGCACTTAGGTGACAACAACCCCAGACAACGCTACAGGCTGAGGGCAGAGTGGCTGGAAAGTGGCTCAGTGGCAAAAAGTGGTAGTGGGCATGCTGGTGACAGCAGCTGAACATGAGCCAGCTGTGTCCAGTTGGCCAAGAAGGCCAAGAGCATCCTGGCCTGTATCAGCAATAGTGTGGCCAGCAGGACCAGGGCAGCAATTCTCTGTACTCAGCACTGGTGAGGGCACATCTCAAATCCTGTGTTCAGTTTTTGTCCCTCACTATGAGAAGGACATTGAGGTGCTGGAGTGTGTCCAGAGAAGGGCAGCGGAGCTGGTGAAGGATCTGGAGCACAAGGCTGATAAGGAGCAGTAGAAGGAACTTGGGTTGTTTAGCCTGGAGGAAACAAGGCTGAAGGGAAAATCTTATCATACTCTACAACTACCTAAAAGGAGGGTGTAGCCAGTGGGGGAGTTCATCTTTTCTCCCTACTAACATGTCATAAAACAAGAGGAAAAGGCCTGAATTTTTGCAAGGGGAGATTTAGACTGGATACTAGAGAAAATTCTTCATCAAAAGTATTGTCAATCATTGGAATAGGCAGTCCAGGGAAGCAGTTGAGTCATTGTCTCTGGAGATAGTTTAAAGTGTAAATGTAGCACTTGTTTAGTGCACTTAGAACATTTAGTGCATTTAGAACATGGTTTAGTGCTGATTGGACTTGATGATCTTAAAAGTCTTTTCCAAATTAAATGATTCTATGATTCTGAGCGAGGAAAGGCAGCAAAGAACCATGTTACTAAAAATAGGCAGAAATCCATCTCAATGGTTGAACACGATCTTTTAAAAAAAAAAAAAATTGGGAGCTATACCTCATGCCAAGTAATAGCATAATGCATCACAGAGTTGCTTTGAAACAATTTGTTAATTGTAAGGATTTATTCATTTTTTTTACTTGAAACTTTTTCTTCTTACTAAATGCTTTGTGCACTAACATCAGCTAAAAGAACTACAACAAGCTATAAATGAAAGCCAAATAACCCAACACTGGGAAATGCAAAGAGCAACACAAACAGAACAAAATGATGACTGCACATAACAACTACACCAGGCCTATCTGAAGAAGATGCAGCTGTCACTTTGGCACAGTAAGGGTGCAGGTGAGGGACCAAATACTCTATTTTAATTCCCTCCTTTTATTTGTAATGCTTTGTTTCTAGAGCTTGTATTTGTTTGGGGTTTTGTTGTTTTTTTTTTAAAAATTAACAATTACTATCACTGCAGATCCACAGAAACCCCAGGGGAGCTCAAGAAAGGTGCAAGGTCTCGACAGCCCAGCTCTTTATCTCTCTCTCAGAAGGCTTTGGGGCTGCTAAATATCCCCAAATTTTAAATATGTAAGTAAGAATTATAGTCCTAGGTTAGGAATGATGGCAATCTGGCAGTGCTGAGCAGAGGGGGTGATGAGGCTGACAGGTCTTTTCAATCAAGTGCTTAAGCTTACAGGGAGAAATTATAGCAAAAATGGATAGTTAAAACATTTAATGGGGATAGAAGCAAAGAAAATACAATAGTTTTAGAAAAAAATGCACTGTTTGTTTGCTCTTTTCCAGCTGAGGAGGGAATCCACAAGCATCTTATACAGCATGTTAATTTTTAATCAAAATGATGAGCTACTGCAGGAGCCACTTGATGGCAAGGACTAGCTGTGGGGATGGTTGCCTCCCTAACTTTCAGGGGACTCCTGAGTACTTCACCTAGTGGACCACCAAAACCTGGATTTCTCTGCAGGAGGGGCAATGGCCTTCCCAGCATCCCAGCAGTCTGAACCTGGGGGAAGGCTGACTGTCACACAAATATGCAAGAGGCTGTTCCTTAACTGTGTCTGAACCCATTTCTCAAGGCTTTTATTCTTCCCAACCATTTCCGAGATACTCACGTTTGTCTTTAACGCCTCCATACATTTGCGCAGCTTCCCAAAGGCATTGGGACCTGTGTATCTTTCTGGTCCAAAACTGTATTGCTGAATCCAGTTGCAACCTTGAGAATACAAAAGCTTTTCAGGGAGCTGGGAAAAAAACAAAAGACAAGCTAATCATAACCATAACAAGAAGCAGAGTATATGGTTATATAAACTTGTCTACATACAATTTACAATGTGGGTCTATCAGCTGTTTGTACAGTTCAAACAACAAAGTAAATGAACCTCACAGTTCAAATGTTATGAAGGAGGATGCACTTAACTGCCAAGTCCCAAAGTAACATTTAAAATAGGGCCAACCAAAAAAAAACAAAGATTAAGAAAATATGCTCTCAGCAAAACATATTACTCACACTCTGGAAAAGCTGAGCACTTCCAAATTCAGTGAGTGTTTAGGATTACAGACACCTTGCAGTCTGCACACACTTTTCTACAGGCAGAAGCTATAGATCCCACCTTCCTGACACTATCTCCTGCTAGAGCTCCTGGAGCCCATGGCAGGATTCCTGCTGCTCCAGAAACACGGCAGCTCCCAAGTGAGCCACTGAACTTTGCATGGATGTGGATGGGAAGGATTTAAATAACCTGTTGTGTTAAGTGAATGACATCTAGCAGGATGGCAGTAACATACATTCATCCATCCACTTTTTTTTTTTTTTTTTTTTTTTTACATCATTCAGACTCATGTTCACATTGGTATATTTAGATCAAGGACAGTTTTTCAATTAAATGTAGTTCAGTGGGTTTGAAAATCTTCTCTTTGAATTCTGATAATGATTCTCCACTTTGACAGCCAACATATCACTTTTCAAAGTTGAAAAATATGAAAAAATATATCATTGAACAAAGCTTTCTTCTGCTGTGCATGGATAGCTAAAATGTGTTCATTTAGAAAATGAATTTTACCTTCAATATATCTCTTTCCTTCATCCATGAAGGAAAAGGAATGCCTTGGCTGAATATCTGAAAAAGCACCGCTCTTACTACACTGTAGTTGTCCCTCCTGACTTGTCTCAGGTATTTGATATGACAGCTCTTAAACAATTCTTCATATGCCTAGAAAGAGAGCAAGAAAAATTAGCAATAAGAAATACTAAATGTTAGAAAAAAACCATGTTGTTTGAAGTTCAATTCCAAACTACTCATAAGAAGAAGCTGGGAGAACAAGACAGTATATTTTTAAGATTTATATACACAGAAATGTTAAACACTATGTTTTTGTAAACATGTTAGACTGGCGCTGCCCCTTAAGAGTGATTCTGCATTCCTTCCAAACCCAGCAACTTGTTCAAGTCTCTGCACTTTTGCTACTATAAACATTCACATGGTCAACCAAATTAGAGCAGATCAGCACAGATTTCTGTGCTGTAATAGCATTAACCCCAAGCATTTTACAGTTTTCACTGACATGTGGGATGCAGCAGCAAAAGGGCAGGAACAAGTATCTGGAGAAAACTCCTTTTGGCAGAAACATTTCCTTACATTGACCTGAATCCATTGTGCAACACTGACCTGAGGCAGAGCAGATTTGGAAGCTGTATGCTGAAACAGACAGCCCTTGGTCCAGCTACCCTCTCTGCATTACCACTGGCTGCTATCTGACCCTTGTTGAGACAATTCTGAGCAATAAACTGGCAGTGTATTAGGGAGAGAACTCTACAGTCCCACAGGCTGCTCCATCACTTCCAGTTTGCTTCCTGAAGGGGGCAGCAGGATGGTCTCAATGCCTCATAATCTGTTTCCCTTGGTTACTCCCTCACTCCATCCCACTACCACTTCTCAGCTGCACTCTGTCCCCTTATTCTTACTGTATCAGCTGAGATAGTAACCCTATCAAACTCTTTCTGCTGAGGGAGTTCCCTGCTGCTTCAGCAAGCTTGAGGGCTTCAGGGAAGTCTCTTTTCTTGTAGATGATCTGCTTCATCAGCTCACCATCCAGGTGGACCACATCCAAAAGAGGATGAGAGTCAGAACAGAAGAGGGAGAAGGACTGCCTAGCTAGGACAAGGCAAGAAAGTGGGAGAGACAAGACAAACATGGGATTACTCCTTCTGGGGGGCAGCAAGCATGTTATGCTTGATCTCACAAGACCTCATCGTAAAATGTGCTCCTTACCATAGCAACTTCTACCTGATGTAACCAGACATCCACTGACTGCTCCGTATACAGGAGTCTCCTTTTCACATCTGGTCATCCAGAAGGCTCATAGATTTTCTAAAAGGCTTTTTGCCCAGTATAGGCTTGCAACTTTTATTAGAAGTTTTGCTATCTTTTTTTATTTGGTCCTCCAAATACTTTTTGGCCTTGTGTGCTTTTCTGTGAACTCTTGGCACTGCTGTGTTCCTGCATTTAATGTGGTAAAACTGGATCTTTTCTCTGTTCATCACTTGAACACAACAGCAGCTTTTTTGAAAACGATCTTATTTTTTCTACAACCCCTTTATGCTACTGTTTATCCTTACCAGCTTCTTTTTACCCTTTAAGTCCTTCTTGGTATGCACTTTGTCTGTGCTTCCAACACCATGACCTAAAGCCAATACATGTCAAATACCCTGGTGCAGTTGAACTGCCTGTTTTGCCAGCAGCACCCTGGGGAAGACACCAGCACAGAAGCACCTAGGCTGGGGTGCAGAGCTGGAGCTGAGGGACTGTGCCCAAAGGCATGGGATGGCCCCTATCCAGCACCCCAGCTCCCTGCCTGCTGGGCACCACCCAAGCCGGCACAGGTTAGATTCCAGCTCCTACCCTGCCAGCCACAGCTGATGATGCTGGAGAGGAGAAGGCTGCCGAACATGGACCTTCAGAGCTTGGAGAAGAAATGGATGTGGGTTTTCCTTCCTCCCTGGAATAAGTGTTTTTAGCTTAAATCAAAGGCTGGCCAAATGACAGTGCCTAAGACCACATTATTTGGGCTTTAGCACTGGTCATGATTTTTCCTGTTAAAGCCACTGTGTGGCTCACTGGCGCTAGAAGATGGAATTCAGAATAGATACAAGACTAAAACCTGATCTACATTTTGACCTGCACTGCTGCACTCTTCATTAAGACCCATGCTCATGCTGTGCCTTTTGCTTCTCATTTGACTAGGCAGTGTGGCAGGCTTTGATAGCTGCTGCAGCTGTTTGCACTGAGAGTGCTAATTCTTTCCCAGGTGCTGGTTCTCCCCTGTCCTCATGCAGAGATTAAAATTTAACTCTTACCTCCCTCATCTGTTTGGCCTGCTTTGTTTCTCCTTTCCATTCTCTTGCACTATAGCCAAGCAGATCAACTTCTGGCAGCACACTGAGATTCCCTAAATTGAGATTGACAGATTAGTTACATTCTGCTGTTCTGCATCTAAAGGGAAGCTGTGAGGGTGATTAATGAATGTGGAGTGACAACAAAAACTTACTTATGAGTTGCCTCTGAAGGTAGTTGCTCCACCTGAAATATAAATGATAGAACAGGTGTCATCGAGGAGGTGTTGAAGGTCAATACTGAAATACTGAATACTTATTACTGAAATAAGCAACAGTGTGGAAGACTAAATAAATAGTGCAATAAAAACCTACCTTTTCAGTAGCTGTGCTAAAAAGCTGTATAGCCTTCTACAATACCAAAAAAGAGCAGTGAGGAAGGACATGCTTAGCATTAGCTGCACTTTCACTTTTTGCCACCTGAGACACAGGGATTCCTTGCTGGCTGTTTTCCAAGACCACACCTCATGCCTTCCTAAAATATGGATCAAAAGAGAGGGAAAAATCTTATTATTTTGAAGTACTTGTTTCTGTTTGCTATCTTGCAAAAAAAGAAAGATCATCCAAACATGATACCACTTCAAAGGAAACACAAAACATGACATCCAAAAGATTAATATATTTTACTTAACACACATAATTTATATACTTAATTTTTCAAGCTTTTAGGGGCTTGGGTGCACACAGTTCACATTTCCACACTTTCCTGCACACAGTGAAGGCTACACACATAGTTACAATGGAGTCACAGGAAGACTGGTGTCAAACCCACTGCTCACTAACAAAAAACCCTCAAATTTTTTATTTTTTTTTATTATTATTACTTCAGGATGTGCTGATCTAGAGGCCTGTACTGTAATTATTTTGTCTCTAAGTCATGTCTTTAAAGACCAGGGGTTTGTAAGACTTACTTGTAGTCAACAGATGGGCCATATAAGGCAATATTAGCTGACTAAGCATCATATGACTGCCAGGGGAATTAAAGGAATGTTCTTGCCTCAATTTGGGTAAGTTTAGGGACAATTTAAAACTCCAGGGAAAGATTCTCCCCAGGGACTTGGTAAGAAAGCTCAGGAGATCATGACAGAGGGGGTGCACGCTCACTGTTCTTCACAGACATAAACAAGGACAAGATTCTGTCACTCCCCTGGCATTACAGACAAGATTAGGGAAGGTTATGGTTGTCTATTTTTGATAAGAAGACCTACAAGTGAGAGAGGCCCTAGAGACTGAACAGTTAACAAAGGCAGTAGCTGCTCCCTAAGTGAGAAATTTGTCCTCTAGAAAAAAATTGAGTATAGGAAATTCCCAGAGCTCATGATGAACAGATGCTCAGTCATTAACTTATTTATTGATTTAGTACAAAACCTTAAAAGAACTCAACTTTTTATATAGGTATCCACAGAAAAGGCTGAGAAGATCCTTCTCCAAGGAGTCTACAAAGAGAATTACTCATTCCACGTAGTTTATGTCAGCTGAACTTCTGCCCCTCCTGGCTTTAACAGGAAATTTAAGAGGGGCTTAAGTTTTCCAAGTAAGTTAAACCCATGCACTCTGGACAACAATCCAATCAAAGAGTTACATATCAATTCCAACCTTAGCAACAAGATAAACAGTGATGCACTCATTTTTATGAGCACTGTTGCATATACACAGAGCACTGCTGATACTTGGCCTTTCCCAATATTCTGTTGTTTGAATAAGTTTTATTACAAGATGTTGTATGCAAGTCATCTGGTGGTGAGACCCAGACCTTGTCTCTCCTGTGAACTAAAGGTAGGTTAAGAGCTGTAAATGAAAAGGTGTCAATAAAATTTAGGTCAGCTGGGGGGCTTGTTCTGAAGCTCCAGAAAATGTTTATTACTGATGCCAAGTAACAGACAACAAAACATCAGCTGTAAGGTTTGGAAGTGGAAAACTTCACAGAAAAACCAAACACTCCCACTTACAGCTCACACGCACATATAAACACACACCCACTTCCTCCTGAGGGACACTGGTAGGTACATTCTCAATATGCACATAAACTCCTACCTAGATAAATGGCAATCCTAGATCAAGCAATTGCATTTTTTTCTCTTTCTGCTTTAGGATAAAGGCATCAGCATTGAAAAAAACCTCAGTGGACTGTGAATAACTGAACCTTCTGTCCACTAGAATGGAACCTGATGGCTCACAGATGTTCAGCCCAGGGATCAGAGAGTATTCTGGATTTACACTGTTGTATGCAAACCGATGATGATTGAAATGAACAACAATTTAAATACACAGTATCAAAGGTAAGCTGCAGCAGACTTTCATTTCTTTACTAAAAAGGGCTGTATAGTCCACTCCCACATTTGATTTTGAACAAACTGGGTCTATAAAAAAATCAAAAGCTGGTCCATCTGTTAAAATTACATACTTTGCATTATGGAGTACCAAGAAATACATATGAATGCAAAATTTCTTCCCTTACCCCTTTTACAGGCAGAAAGATGCTCTGCATCAGTTTTTAAACTGAATTAAGCAATCTTTTGAGGAAGTTTTTGGTGGTAATAATCCTGAAAAAATCTCAGGCTACTGGAATTTAACTAGCTCTCTTTCAGTACATATGGTTACCAGGTGCTTGAGCAACTGCTCCTCAAGGAGTGCTGGGAAGCACAGGCTTACTGATTTCCATTAGAAACACAAATCACCGTCAGAGAACACGAGACAATCAAATATTACTCACCCATTTTTATTTAATATGGGGATTTATAAAAGGGTATTTTCCCTAGCAGAATGCCTAATGGGTGATGGAAAAACCTGTAAACAAGTGATTTTGAGTATTTTTGCTACCCTTGTACATATATATTTTTGCTACTTGTACATATGTAGTCTAAGCATACCTTAGACTTCATGAACTTTCCCTCCTGTCATGGGAAAGCTGCTGTTTGAACAGCACTTTGTGATTCAGTTAATACTTCCAGTGCCTATGACACCCTTAGAAATTAATTACATTTTCTATTCAAGTAAATGACATTTAGAAGTAGCAGTTGGATTATAAAGTGCTGCTGGTAAAAATGCATCATGAGCATAAATTAAAGAAGGCAGCATCTTAAAATAGATCTTGCTACCCCCCTCCCTGCACCTTCCAAAAGTCTTCAGAAACCAATGAGCAATTAAATTAATAACACATTAGTTGGGCGAGTAAAATAAACCCCCAGATTTTTAAACCATATCCATTCCCTGGGATATGGGCAGAATTCATCCTGTTCCTCAGGAGGCAGTGACAGGAGCAGTTAGTGCTGTGACCAGCTGCTGGGCTCCCAGTCTTCTTGGAGACTGACTGTGACCATCAGCATGACAGGAGGCCTGACTCTTCTGCCATGCAGAAATTTGGAAGAACAGAGGCTGAACAGTGCTGGAGTAGGAGCTGATAGTAGTGTTTATCTCACAGAGCAAGTAGTACACCATGTTTTATTTTCATGCTACATCAAGCTTCCAGCTAGTGCCAAGCCTTAAGCTTTTCCTGCAAAGTCAGCAGGAGAGACACACTGAAGAAAAAAAAATAAATAAATAAAAAAGCCAGGAAAAAAGATAAGTAAGAGGTGCTTGTTGTAACATCTGTATCAGGTTCAACTCAGAAAGAATCTCAAAAGGACTTACTTCACATTTGACTTGCTCACAACTTTTTTGGAGGCTTCTATGTTAAACGCACACACACGATGAAATGCAAAATGTCAGAGATTAGCTTGGGAACTAGCAGACAGAACTGTATGCATTACTGAATATTCCAGCGTGTCTGATGGCACAATCACTCTTTACTGTTTTTCTCCATCAGAAAGATAACAGAGCATCTTCCCAAACTAAACCTGACAAAATTATTTATTTTCGGGACATTCCTCTTCACCATCCTTTTGGTACTGAAAGCAGGACATAGCACTTGTCACCAGAAAGTGTCCAGGTTTCATACTCCCATCACACAAAATTATGTTCCTAGTTCCCAAAAAGAAGGTATAGCCTCATTCAAAAAGGGAGGCAGAATGTGGGACTCCTCTGCTCCAGCCCTTATGCTTCCTCACCTGTGCCACTCACCTCCCTCCTCTGTTGGATGCAGAGCAAGGAAGGGAGACCCCCCTCAACTGAGACATGCAAAGCTTGGCATGGAGGTCCAAGCCTGCCTGTGTTCAAGGTGTGCATGCAGAGTTCTCTTCATGTTATTTCACATTGCTATTTTCCACATTATTCACCATCAGCACCAAGGTATGTTACAGAAGAGGCTAAGGCTCTCTTTTAAGGGAAAACAGAGAAGCTTACCTTTATAGAACAGGCACAAGCATGATGCACATGTTTACACAGACATCAACTGAATGAACCAAGAGGGAGACACAGAAAAATTAGTAATTATACAAATTCAATACCTACATAAGATTACATCCCATTAGAGTTTAGAAGAGAGAAATATGCCTTTTTAAGTGGTGCTGAGAAATCACAAATTCTTTGATTTCCCAGTTTATCATCAGCACTGCACAAAAAAAAAACCCAAAACCAACTGAAAACAGGTCAAACACATACCAAGATATGTGAGAAGCACTACTTAATTCAATAACTATTTAATTTCAAACCCCTTCCTTTACAGAGTAAAGCAATGCCAACTTGTTAAGCAACATTCACCTGTTCTAACAGGAGAGATGAGGCTCTCTCCTTGGTATATTAAGAAAAAGAAAATAATTTACAGACAAAGATGTAATCCATCAGTGACTTATCAAAAGTTCAACCAAGTCTGCTGATCAAATATCTTCTACTGAAAGAAAATCAAAAAACAAATTAAAATCCCAGCCCCAAACCATAGGTCGAATCACATAACTACCTAGGAAACAAAATTACACTTTGGTAATGCCGAGGCCCATCAGTTGCAAGAAAGATTTTATTTACAAAACTCTTCTGCATAGGACTGTCCCAAGTGCCTTCTTAGCTCCCTCAGTCTTTTTTTCAGAAAAATACAGAGAATATAGAGCTGACATCATCATCATCATCATATATGGCTGATCATCAACAGGAACTGCTGGTGTTAATGTATCTATCCAGATGTGACACATACTTATTCCTACTGTGCAGTAACAACCATGATATGTTCTTACCCACTGGGTGATTATCTAAAATATACTCTACTAGAATTACCTTCACAATACCATTTTCAGCTATATAATCAAGATATTAATGCATGCCTTAGCCCGCACATACCATTTTCTCTCTGCAAATGCCTACAAGAACAAAAGCAAAGTTCAGTTCTTCATTTCCTGTACAATCCAGCTTCCTTTTTAAGGCACAGGGTGCTTCATCCAAGACCTTCAGATGAATAATGTTTAGCCCCACTTCCATTTAAGTAAGAAAAAACATGACAGAAGCCTTCTGAGAATTTACAGTCCAGAATACTGGATGAGAAACACATGAAAAGCATTTCATGCCATTAAAAACACATGAATCTCTCTAAAACTTTTATTCCTATTAAAAAAAAAAAAGAAAAATAAAATAACCTCCTTTTAAAGAAGGAGCCTCTGAAATCTCTGCTACTGTTTCTTTCTTAATGTGGAAAAAAAAATCTGTTCCCATTCTGAATTGCTATTTAATTCCTGTACACTTTAAACAGAACTTACGTAAATGCACTAAATCTATTATTTGAAAGAAGCCCACTCTAAGAATTCTTATTCTGCCTGATGCAGAGTTGCATGTTGAGTCACCCCTAATGTCAGTCATGGTTGTTTCACAGTTCCCAAAGTGCTTTTTTTTTTCTTATTTTTTTTATTCCATGCTGAATCCAAACTGACAGAATAAAGGAAATACTTTCCTCCTGAACATCTCAAATGTAGCTGACAAGTATAAATACCTTGGGTTTTTTATGTTGATATGTCTAGATAACTGAAACCTGGTTAGGGGAAAAAAAGAAGTCTTACTTTGCAATAACAATAATTTTACCCCTCCTAATTTTTAAATCCTGTTTGCTAGACAGCACAAGACTTGTATCAACCACCCCACCCTCCAAGGATGCCCAGTCAGGTACTCAGGAGGCTGGGGGTACCACAGGCAGCATCCCTCCTGGTCTCTCTAGGCAGAGGTCCAGTGGCAGCTGCCCCACTCCTGGGATTCCCCGGTGCAGGAAGTGCCCCTGGCTCTGCCTGGATGCGTTGTAAGCACACAACACAGGACAGACCAAGGAATTTTAAGCTACCTGTTGATAATAAGTTATCCCAACTGATATCCAGAAAAAGAGCAGGATCAAGTAACCCGTGACAAACAAAAAAATCAACTCTTCTGAGCTTGTTTACTGTCCGAGGAGAAAGCCCGTCTCACCAAACTACACCCATGTTGCTCATCGTTTCCATCTCTGTACAGGGTCTGACTGCTGCACCTCACACAGATTTTGTGTCTGTCTTCAGAGCATTGCCCTCTCCTGAGTGATTTTGTGTGCAGATGGTGCAGAGCTGTGTACTTTTTCATGTGGATTAGTAATTACATATACTTTATGATTAATAATCACAAATTATTCATATCTCCTGGCAGTGCACCAGATGAAGCCTGTGCTTCCTCAGCAGGTATGTGCAGAGGTTATCCCAGCAGTGTTATCTGTTTGCTAGTTTTACTTGCATCTTGCCCTCTTTTCAAGACAGATTAGAAGCACAAAGCAAGTTCAAAGAAAGTAAAATATCAAAGCCATCATTCTGAATGCAAATGGCAGAAATTGGTCTTGCATCTCTTCCTCTCTGCCTCTCAGTCTCCAGTCTGACAAAAGCCAAAACTTCAGCTTTATTCTGCAGAACTCATGGTATTTGTATGGAAGCAGCTGGAGTGTTTAAACCCTGCTCTCTTCATCATTTCAAGGCCAGCACTTTCAAACTGGCATGTTTTAATTAGCTCAAGCACACAGAAGTCCTCTGCCTTTTTGTGAGAATGCATTACCAGGTACTTCTGGCCTAATATATTATACAAAAAAAAAACATACTGAAAGGTAAAACTGACTGCATCAAGATAATCACTGAAATTTAAGTTATCGCTCAGTGTAATACTGAAGTCATAGCTAACAGAAACATTTCATAAAGATGTGGTTCAAGAACTCAGAATATTCTGTGCAAGAGCTTTCTATTTTGTAAAAGCACATTAGTAGTAGTAGTATTATTATGCATAATAATATCACAGTCATTATTGTTATTGCTAATGCACAGTTGGTATTTTTACAGACATTTCGATGCAAGAGAAATTTCAAGTGTTTAGAGAGAAGTTTAAACTCTACATCAGTTGCAGGGATCAAGAGACCACAGCTCCCTGACACCTCTGCATTTTCACAAACTGCCTAAAAACTGGAGTTACGTAGCAAGGAGTAAATAAATTACAAATCATGCACCCCTGTAAAATATAGTTAAGTGTCACCTTGCATATTGAGCTCTCTTTGAGGGGCTGGCACTTGGCAGAGGCACAACCTACTTTCACTTGTAAAGTAAGAAAATGAAATACAGGGTACTGGATAGTTTCTGACATGGAACCCAGCAACATAATTTTTAAAGTTCTTAATTTATATGAAGCCCCCTATTTTTAAGGCCTTGGCCTTTGGCAAGAACATCACAGTTGAAATTCTTGTGCAGGAAATGACCCAAAATGAAACCAGAATTGAAGGACAATAAACATATCCCCAAGCTGCTCACAAACATGGTGCTGTGCTCAGAGCAAAACTGGGGAACACAGGTAGGGTTTCTCTTTGTTGTACAGATAGACCTGAACCAAGTATTTAAGTTTGCAGAAGACTGATTTTGCACACACTTGGCAGTTAAAACCTTGCTAACCATTCGAGGCAGGCAATTCCACCCTCCACTGTTGTGAGGCCCCACCTGCAGTACTGCATCCAGCTCTGGGACCCACAGCATAAGAAGGATGTGGACCTAAGGGTGCAAGGTCCACAGAGGAGGCCATGAAAATGATCAGGGGGATGAAGAACCTCTCTTATGAGAATACGCTAAAAGAGCTGAGGTTGTTCAGCCTGGAAGGCTCCTAGAAGACCTTAAAGCACCTTCCAGTAGCTAAAGGGGCCTACAAGAAAGATGGAGAGGGACTTTTTACAACAGGATTTAGTGATATAACAAGGGGAATGGCTTTAGATTTAAAGAGGGCAGGCTTAGGTTAGGTATTAGGTAGAAATTCTTCACTGGGAGGCTGGTGAGGCACTGGGACAGGCTGCTCAAAGAAGCTATGGATGTCCCACCCCTGAAAATGTTCAAGGCCAGGCTGGATGGAGTTCTGAGCAACCTGGTCTAGTGAAAAGTATCCCTGTACACAGCAGGGGTTTGGAACCAGGTGGTCTGTAAGGCCCCATCCAACCCAAACCATTCTGTGGTCTCCCTGGTGGCAGATGACCTTCGAGCAGTGCCAAGCACCTTGCCTTGATGCTACTTTGCTGCACTGATACAAGGGCAGACTTGATGATGGTCAAAGCCCCACGGCCACCATGTCATATCAAGGCACTGGTTTGATGCTAAGGTACGCATTTCTGACTTCCATAGCATCATTTACCCAACATGACTACCCAGCCCTGGAAACATAAATGCTAAACACTTCAAACATGTAGAAAACCTCAGCAACATGCATGGACAAGGCACCTGAGACTGGGTCCTGCTGAAGACCACGAGTAGAACTAGCAAAAAGCACCAGAGACTGAGCATATACAGCCACATCTTGCCACATCTTTAGCCCTCCACCATCACAGAATACAGCTCAAGTAAGATAACACATATCTTCTGCTCAGTCTATAGCATTCTCCTGAGAAGAAAAATTTGTTGAAAGAAAAATGTGGGCAGTACAAGTTGCCTTGCTTGACACATCCCTCTGTACAGGTACATAGCGGCATCTGTCCTCACTGGTGACATGGGGACAGGAGCAAGAGACACACTTCCTCTCTCTGTCAGAAGCTTCCAGCATGTCCCCGTATGCTACAGAGAAATCCCAAGCATTTGGGTCTGGATCTTGAGGATGTCAAAAATGTATAGTGTATAGAGCAGTGAAAAAATGGGAAGAAGCTGCAAGCACAGTGTAAGGCTGAAAAGAAACCAAAATATGCTGATTTCAAAATTTCTCAGAAAATTAATGAAAAAGCAGTAGAAGTTTTGAAGTATTTTTCAATGTTTGTCTTCACTGGAGCCCTCTCAAGAAGGGGACAGCATACCCCTTATTTCCTTTTTGTCCTTGTTTATGCTGGGACACAACTTTTATGGGGTTTTTTTGTTATGCTTTTATGTAATCAGGCAACAGACAGTCCAACCATGAGTTATATTGTTCATGGGAAAATGTCAAACTTTCCATCAAGTCAAATTTTGTAATATACAAACTAAATTCTAACACCTCAGAATTTGTGCAAGATCCCTAGCAACAAATTTCCCTCTTAAAACTGCCAGTGACTGCTTTTACATTGCTGCAGCTGAAGAAGTGTAACTCCTGTTTTCTATCATCGAACTCTGACTTTTTCACAAAGAAGTAGCTGTTTTTCAGTCTTTCTGAAGGGTACAGCACTGTTGTCTGATCCAGAGCACTGCAACCATGCACTGAGGGACTGGCATCTGCTATGCTGGAAATGGCAGCAATGGAGCACATGGGCAGAACTCCCTGTTGCTGCTGCATGCTGGCACCATGCCAGCTGCATTACCCCACCGGTGCAGAAAGGATGCCATGTGTTCACCAGGCCTTCCCAAAGTCCATCAAAGCAGAAATCAGATCCTGAAGTGAGTCAGGGACAGATGTCAGCAACTCAGATTAGTGTTTCAGTTTAAAGAGTACTATAACTCTTTCAGAAGTTAGACTGCCATAAAAAGGCCATTAGAATATGACTTAGGCAACCCAAATGTAAATTTAAAAAAAAAAAAAATTCACAGCCTAAAACAAGAGGAGATTAAAAAGCTCCTTAGGGAAAGCCTTATGTCATTCTATCACACCCATATTTAGTTATGCAGGTGTAATGAAAGCAGTATAATTATATTACTTTTTGACTCCTGAGCACTGGTTATTCCCTGTGTTTTTAAAACAAGGAAATTATAAGTATAATCGTCTCCCCTAGGACAGTTTGGCTCCTTGACTCTCACAGTTCAGCTGTGTGGGGTCAGAAGGCTCAGCAGAGGTATTTCTGAAATCTCAAAATCATTTGCTTGGGTAGTCATGCAAGATCAAAAATTTTCAAACACTAAGCTCAAGAAAAATTTCATACATTTTTGAAAAACCCTTTAATGTTTGTTGTCTAATCCTTGGTAGATAGGATGTGAAGATTCAACTGGAAACTGTACCTAAGAAACAAGGTGGACAGAAAGTCTTGATGATGAATGGGAAATGAACACCACCTAGGCAGGCAACATGTTCCAAACAGTTTAACAAAGTGGCAAAACAACCCTTATATCCAAAAATGGCAAAGAATCTCAGAACTACAAAAATTTAATTTCTTTTCAACTCCAAATAC